AGTGCAAAATTAAGTAAAAATTTTGACACTATCTGAAAAACACAGCAAAACGCCAAAGGGATTTTTTTTCTTTGACATTAAAATAGTATTTATTTAATTATTAATTAATAAAAATAGCATTTTTTCAAAAGGAAATACAAATTTCATTATTATTGAACCCACAAATTTATTAGGTTTTGGCTGTTCTCAATAAATTGATCAAAAGTTTGAAATGTTAGTTTTACTATATTTAAATTTTACGAATCTATTTGTTGGATAATCTTTTTGAAAATCTAAAATAGTTTCAAAATTTATAAAAATAAAAAAAAAGCAAGGCAGGATGTAGTTTGCTAAAGAAAAAAAACGAAACTTATTTTCTTTTTTGGAAAAAAATACTATTTTAAAATTATTATAGTCATAGTAGATTAGGGATAAGTTGACTCAATACTTTAAAATTATAAAACAATCAAATCCAGGGATTTTGTTTGTTTTATATGTTGGCGAAGATTAGGGAAGTTAGTTTGATAACGCCAACTATAAACAACAGAGCAGTGCAAAAGCATAGAAGCAGAGGAGAGGCGCTGGCAAGCAGTTTACAAAAAAAAAAAGGAGAAAAGGTTTTTCCCGAGAAAGTACGCTTCTAGATTTGCGTCATCAATAGATGTTCTCTGTTCATTGTTCTTTTTCATGAATAAGAGATTTGCGTCAATAGATGTTCTTCTAACTGGATTATTGTTAGTAAATTTCCAACTGTTGTAAGTTGTGATGTGACAAGACTCTATATGTAGACAGCAGAAACTGATGTTCAAAACGACAAAACTTGTTTCAGGTTTTCATCAATATCTCGTCAATTTAAAAAATCATGGACTTGATACAAGTTCGTTTCATCTTCGGTTTTATAGGTAATACTATCCTTGTCTCTCTCTTTCACAAATCAATATGCTAATTATCTCTGCAAAGCTTAAGCACAAATTCGCTATCCCTTGGATGCAGGGAGTGTTATTTGCACTGGTAGCATAGCTGGTCATGTGTAATATATATATATATATATATCCCTTTTCCTCTTTCACTCTTTTTTTCCTTTTTTTTTTGGTTATTTCTTCTAATGCTTTACATATTTGGATCCTTAGGCCAAGTTTCGTAGCTATGTACAAAAACAAGTCAGCGGGTAGAGCTTTACCACCCCATAGACTTGTGCAACTTTTTCTGCACAATATTTTGTGGTTTTTCTATGGCATTGTGAACAAGGATAGTAGTTGTCTTGTTTCAACCACTTGTGCCGTCTATATGGGATTCACAGCTATCTACTTATCCCTTTTTTTCATCTCATGCGGCCACCAGAAAGACCTCTGTGTAATGTTTCTTCAAATTTTAATCCTTCAAAGATCTCTCATAATTATACTGATGATGATGATGCATATGTGCAGTGGTTCATTGTGTCACGTCTTATGGCTGGGATCATTGGTGTGGTAGGGACTGTTCTCATCACGCTTTTCTCAATTGAAAGTTCATCTGCTAAACTAACACTCCTTGGTGTTATGGGCGAAATCTCCTTCATATCTCTTATGCTACAAGTTCCCATACGTTCACTGGTAAAGTTGTATATATCTCTCATCGACTTATGATCAATGTATATATAGCATTTGATATTTATATAACATTTGATTAACTTACAACAGGAAATTGCAGTGGTGACAAAGAGCGTTGCTCATATATCCTCTTCGAGATGTATCGCTACTGTCATCAACGGTTTGGTTTGGGGTGCTTACTCTTGCATCTACATATTCGATCCCTACCTTTTTGTAAGTATTTTTTTAATTTTATTCCTAAATTTATTTTCTTTTGATTCATTAACAACATTTTGTTCTTTTTGGTGTATCTGTAGATATGTAGTGTTATTCAAATATTGGTGTTTACTGCCATGTTGATAGTCTATGCCCGCTACTACAAATCTACTCCACGGGTGAAATCGGATTAGATTTTATTGTGTTTTTCTTCTATTCACTTTATATTGTGACTTTTAGTTATTCCAAGTTGAACAACAGTTTTAGTATGTCATATCGATCTTCTAAACATTTTGGCAGCAAGGACTGGTTTTACTCTACAACCACTCAAGTCAATCCATTGAATAATGTCTCTTATCATGTATCTATTAGAGAAAGTTGTAGATGTTACAACTATAAAATAAAAGATTCCTAGGATAACAATCATCGATGAATAAAAGAAAACAGAGGAAGAATGACTATTTTAAACATTTGGGATAATTTTGACATCATTTAAGGTAAATCGTGATTCTTACAATCTCTTCCTAGCAATACTTACATAATCTTCGACAAAGAATGTTTTAACAGAAATACACATCTGAAAAATATAAAAGACGATTCTTACATAATCTTCGACAAAGAATGTTTTGACAGAACAGATACACATCTAAAAAAATATCATTTGGTTTCTATTGGCTGTTTTCTTTTTCAAAATACAAAGAACTTTTGTTTCTGTTGAAATCTTAAATTCAGCTACACATGATCCTAATTCATGCCCTAAATGTGCCATTTTTCCCTCCAGTGAAAAGCACATTTTGGTGAACCAAATACCAAATGTTCGAATGGAAGAGCGGGACAATTGCAGTTTCCCCACACTTAAAGTCCTGCATTGTTTTACCATCCAAACGGAAGATCATACATGCAGTTCAATATTTTTTTTTTGTGAAAAAAGTAGGAGATCTGCATGCAGATCTCACCCACGATCATTTGATGTTGTTGATAAGTTTTTTTTACTAACAAATGATTTTGCTACAAGCACTAACTTTAAATATATTTATTTGATTTTATAAATAATGTATAATGATTAGCTCAAACTATATAGTTCACACTAAATACTATTGGTGTCACTTTTAAAATTATAAACAAAGTATTTTAAAAATTATAAGTATGACATCCAGTAACAGATAAAATACAATATTCAAAAAGATACAAAATCTCACTATATAAATATCAACTAAGAATTTAATAGTAGTAAAATGCCGGTTCTTCAAAGATAATTTTGATCAACTAAAACGAAAATAGAAAAGTACAAGCATCTTATGAAAAAATCAATAAACATTTCGGCTGATTCTACAACATTTAAGATATTTATATTGATATTTTGGTATACATTTTTATTGTTTACTATATGATATATAGTTTTTGACTGATTTTGTCATTCATAATTTATAATAAATTATTTGATTTGCATCTCTCTTGCATGATTCGCTTGATATGTTTTATGTTTTCTAACATGTCACGATTTTTTATTAGTCATCGGGATCATAGGAACATCTGGAGTTTGATGATTGGATGGAAGGTTGGATTATTTTGCGGTTCATTGTTTAATGTTAACTATATGTTTTCCTCCAGAAATAAAAGTTTTAAAATAAATTTATATTTAAAAATATAATGTAGTTTATTTTTATATTTATTATTTTTTTACATAATTATTTTTACATTAATTATATGTAAAAATTAAGATAAAATAAACAACTTTATATGAATTATATTTAATACTAATATGTATGTATATATTTAAAATTAAAATTTTGGAATATTTTTTATCTTTTCTCTTTTGATTAAAATATGTTAAATCAGATTATATACAATTAAGAGAAAATTTTGTTAGATATATAATTATCAAAATACAAAAATAAATAATATTTCTAAAATTTATAGATGTTATAAATAAAACTAACAGTATTGGGATTAGAAAATTATAATTCTTTTAAAAACTAGCATAAATTTTTGAAAAAAAAATTAATAATAAAAAATTATATAGTTATAAAAAATAGCCTTGAAAAATATTTCAAAATTTATAAATATTATTATATTTCTATTTCTATTATTATATTATTATTATTAATTTAATGATAATTTATAAGTTACTACCATATTCTAAAAAATTACAAAATATATATATATATATATATATATATATATATATATATATATATATTTATATATATATATATTAATATTAAATGTAAATATATATGTCATAATTAATTTCATGCCATGTTATCATTATTAGTGGATATGTTATTATTTTTTGTGAAATTGATTATGGTAATGATACAAGTCAAAATCAATTCGTAAATAATATATAGGGAAAAACAACATATTATCACTAGTATTCGTAACTTCTAAGAACATCCATATGAATATTCTTATTATTTTTTTTCTTGTAAGACCCGTTTATATTTCTCCATTGTTCGTCGCAACGAAGAGGAAGAAAAAAAAACTTTTATTTCAAAATATTGTTAGAAAATCCGAAAACAAGAAAATGTATATAAAAAAATCAACAATTGATAATTAAGATGCCATGTCTTTTTCTAAGTGCTAGTAGTTGTATTAGTTGTAAGTATGGCTGTTTTTTTGGTATTAGTTGTAACTTGTAAATAGGATTGCTTTATTTATATTTCCAAATTTGGAATCAATTCATACATACATATCTATCATTTAAAATATTTCTCAAATATTCTGGTGCTGGTTATTGTAAATCTGTCTCATAGCCTTAATAATACCAAAACTGTTACAGAGTACAAATTAATAATTTGAAAAAACATGGGTAGACATGATTCAAGATTGGTATGACACCACCACACACTTGTTAAAGAATCGTTGACTTTTAAATAAAAACGGTTGCAAATTGCAATAAAGTTTCCTCGATTTCTATAAACATTATATTAAATATAATAAGAGAAAATGACTAAAATATACCTAAATTTTTTTTTATCCCAAATATAGACCTTAACAATTAAACTGACCAAAATGACACTTAGACATACCTTTGGATTAACTAATTTTAGATTTTTTTCGTTTAGAGTTAAGGAATAGAGATTTGGGATAGGATTTCGAATTTAAAAAAAAAATAAAAAAACTTAAAACTTTTAAAATAAAAAATGCTATTTTAGTCATTTTAATTTTTGAGATCTATTTTTGTGATAAAGATTTAAAAGAATGCTATTTGAGAGAATTGACCATATAATAATTGCTTTATATTATATTTGAAATATGTACAGATTTATATGTTAGAAGTATATATATGATGCCAATACGTTTCTTTACAGCTTCAATCAGTTTCAGTTTCCACCAATATTGACTAACATGGAAGTTACACATCCCGACCCGGCCCAGGATCCAGAAACCCGATACGATCCACGTTGCTGCTCCTGTTTCCCCACCTTCCGATCAAAAACCTCCCCCGCCGTCTGGGGACGAATCCGCACCCTCGACGATAATAACAACCACAACAATCACATCCCCGACGAGCCACGGTGGTGGAAACGCGCGGCTCTCAAGCTCCGAGAGTGGTCGGAGATCGTGGCTGGTCCACGGTGGAAGACGTTCATCCGGCGTTTCAACCGCGATCCGCGTCGCGGTCGCGATTGGGACGCGGGGGAGAAGTTTCAGTACGATCCGTTGAGTTACTCTCTGAACTTCGACGATGATGATGAGGACGATGAGTACGTTGGGGTGGGAGGTTACAGAAGCTTCTCGACGCGGTACGCTAACGTTCCGTTACAGTCTGGTAAATCTCCGGCGATTGCGATTTCTCCGCCGTTGGATTCTTCGTCAAACGCGTAAAGAGAAACGCGTTTGCGTTTACCTTGTCAAAGATGGTTGACTGTTTACGTTTTTTTTTTTTTGTTATTATATTTTGTGATAATTATTAAAAATACGATCAACTATCAATTATTTGTTTATTAATTAATCATCGATTTTTGTTTTAATACGTTTTCTGGGGGAGATAATGATGTAATTAGCTGTACAGCATATTTGGAGAAGTAATGTTCAAGTTAATCATATGATTTTTAAAAACAATTTAATTATATGATTAGTTTTTTTTTTTTTTTGAACTGTTTGATAATTATATGATTAGTTGCTTGGCATGATTTGTTGAGGAAACGCGTTTGCGTTACCTTGTCAAAGATGGTTGACTGTTTACGTTTTTGTTTTTTTTTTGTTATTATATTTTGTGATAATTATTTAAGATACGATCAACTATCAATTATTTGTTTATTAATCATCGATTTTTTTTTTGTTTAAATACGTTTTCTGGGGAGATAATGATGTAATTAGCTGTACAGTATATTGGAGAAGTAATGTTCAAGTTAATCATATGATTTTTTTAAAAATAATTTAATTATATGGTTAGTTGCTTGGCATGATTTGTTCATTTTAGATTAATATTCTACGTTGGCTTTTTTTAATTCCTTTCAAATCTCTTTATAATTCAAAAAATCAGTGACAGTTGGTTTTGTGATTCTGTTAACTTTACAGGGTTTATCATACATTTTCCAATTTCCATGATCATGTTTATTAAATACTCTCTCTATTTCTAAAACATAGACTTTCTAATGTTTTCATACATATTAAGAAAACACATTAAATCACTATCGTTTTCAGTAATTTTCAATTTCCAACAACTTTTAGCCAATAGTAATCTAATAAAATCAATTAATTTTTTTTGAAACTTGTAATTTTCTCATAGAAAACATAAAATATACATCTTTTTAAAACAAAATATTTTTCCAGAACATGGATCTTTTAGGAACGGATGGAGTAATTGACAATAATTCGCAGCCTGGTTCGTCTTCGTCTGTTTTTGAAATAGTGTTATTACAAATATAATGATTTATATATGCATATATTATATAAATCTATATTCGAAAATAGCTTACGTACATATATAAACCTAGATGATATTTGTGTTGATTAAAAAATTCAATATTTAAATAAAACATATATTTTGACAAAAAATCTCAAAAAGATTAAGTTCTGAGAATATGTATAAAACAATTATATTTTTATAGTTGTAAAAAGAAAACCAGTGTGAATACATCCAGGAATATTAAAGTTAGTATAAACGTGATTTGAGTTTAATAGATTTTAAGATGATGTTACGTAAATTGGCAATTTAATTTTATTATGTTAATTCACTTTTGAATCTCATTTTTTTCTAAACTAATTAATTTTATCATATAGTACTCTAAAATGACTAGAAAAATTACAAATTGTATAACTTAGAATGTTGGTAATAACCATAGATTTTATTAAATAACAAGTTCAACAATAATAATAAATTCTTCATTTTAATATACATCACATAAAATCTATACTATTATTTGCGAAGTGATTTTTCGCAACGGAGCTCCTACGTTAAAAGTTAAAGTGGTTAATATCGCTTATACCTTTAATGAATAAAACATATAAATCAGTCAAAAAAAATGAATTTATATTTATTTGATTAGATAAATAATTTAAATTAATAATAATGATAAAAATTATCCATAATCTAAATATATATTTAAAAATAAAATAAAGAGATAATTCCTATATATATTGTGTTCTTATCAGAAAAATATAATTAATTAATATATAATCAACCACAAATTAGAAACAAATTTCACTAATTTGATGACTATTATTATCTAAAAATAGTTGATATTAATAAACCATAAACTAAAACTGAATTAATATATAAGTAACAATAAATTAATTATATTTAAATAAGTGAATTTGCTGATTTATCATATTCTCCATGATTTTATGTAATTATACTTATTTATCATGTTTTTATGATTTTGACTAATAATTAATTATTACCCTTAATTAATGATTAAATAAAATTATTATTATATAATTATGAACCGTATATTAATTAGATTTACTATCCTTAATGACAAGCAAACATAAACTTAATGACTAATTGGATTTATTACTATATAATGACTAATTAGATCTATTACTATATAATAATTAGAAACAAATCTTATTTGTCATCTTTCTTATGATTTGATGATTATCATTATCTAGACTAATGATTATAATAAATCTAATTATTCATTAAGGATAGTAAATCTAATTGTCATGTTCTTGTGAGTTTTACTACCCTTAATGACAAAGCAAACATAAACTTAATGACTAATTAGATTTATTACTATATAATGATTAATAGTTTTTACTATTTGACCAAAAAAAGATTTATTACTATAGAATAATTAAAATTTTCAAAATGTAATTAAACATAAGTAAAAAACGAATTTCAATGATTTTATATTTATCTTTCTATAAAACTATTTTATATTGGATTATAAAATCTTTATTAACCTTGAAATATAATTATATTTTTAGTAATATATCATTAATTATAAATTAAAAATAAATTTCATTTATTTGATAATCATCCTTTTTTTTTTTTATATTATGTCTTTATCAACATTGAAAAATAATTATATTTAAAATAATTATATTTGTTAATATAATTAATTCTAAATTAAAAACGAATTTCATGAATTTGATAATTATCATTATCTAATTTTTTATATTGTGTTATAAGTCGTTATTAACCTTGAAAAATAATTATATTTGTTAATATATATTTAATTATGAAAAAAATAATTCGCAAAGAATTTATGTATAGATAGTTTACATTACTAAAGATAATTTTATTATACTTTTTTGTTATGTCTAAAAATGATATTAATTTATTACTAAATATTTTAAATTTATGAGTATTTTCACATTTAATTTGTGTAATGACAATGATTTCTATGATGATGAAAAGTTTTATATATAGAAAAAATTTGTTTAGATTATTATTAAATATTTTGAGTGTATGAACAATAATTTATTATAATTTAATTAAATTGATTATATTTGTTTATAGATATTAGAAAATTATTAAGCCCGTAAGTGCGGGCAAATTAAACACCTAGTATATTTGTATTTTTAAAATAAAATTTATTTTAATTAGTTATTTTATTTCGATCTGGCTAATGAGAATAAGTCAAATTAAGATAAGTAGTAGAGTATCTTTTAACTTAAAAAAAAAAAAACAGAAACCCTAAAATCCCTCTACGTTAGACTGGGAACGAGGTTCAGGATCATAGTCGGTCGCAGCATTGATACCTACCATTTGAGAGGTAAACTTAAGAACACAATCTTAATCACCCTTTGATTCGACCATTTGCATTATTCGAAGCTTATCTCGATAGGTATAGTTATTATGAAAGTGTAGCATTACGTTGTCATCTTATTTAACGTACGTGTTGTTGAACAAAATGCGATTAATTTTCTAATTAAGATCAGCATTGTTGGATTTCATTTCCACCAGTTTCTTGAAACTAGACCGATCATTCATCAAAACAAAGATCCATTGACTTCTATCTCTGGTTTTTCTTGGTGGTTTTTCCAACAGTTACAATTATGGTGCATGGTGACAACAATAACCGCGCTGAGTGGGTTGCTTGCACTTCAACATCTCCTGATTTGTATAGGCATCTTCTTGCCGAAGAAACTACAACTAGTCTACCTCTTAAAGAAAATTCATCTCTCACACATGAACCTGTAGAAGCTGGAAAATCGGATCGACATGAACGATATAAGAAAGACGGAGTTAAGGAAATAGACGATTATATAAGACATGGAGGCGAGATAAATCTCTTTCCTTAACTCTTAATATTCGCTCCGTAGTGAGACGAAACTGTACGAATATCGAGTCCCAGAATACAACCATGGCAGACGAATCATGCTTCACTCATGAATCGACCTAACGAACTAAGAAATTACGAAACACTCTCTAGACTTACTTCGGGAGGTTTTATGTTGGATTACTTGCGTGAAAAAGTTATGAATGAAGAAAGAGGAGAGATGATATTTAAAGAGAAGACGAGGAGCAACTTTCCGTAACGTGTGCTCGTTAGTGGGGATTTGGCAAAGATCTCGGGAGGTTTAAGTTACGAAAACTTCTCCCCCAAGACTCGCTCTCTCGTTGTTATTAAAATATCTGGCGAGGAATAAACAGCGGGACGTTTTTTTATTTGGTAGACAAACTACTTGTCGTTTTTTAAATAAAATTGCATGCTGTTTTTTGAAGTTTAAATGGCAAAGCGTTGAGCTTAATTTGGCCCAAAAAGATAACTTCTTATCGGGCCGAAGGCCCTCCAATAAAGCCCGAGCCCACGCCCGAACCCCGAGCCGAGCCGGCCGGACGGCGGCGCGCGCGTGGAGCTCCTTCTTTTCCTCTGAGCTATTTACACTCTCATAACATGAGACCATATATATATAACTCTCTTTCACTTGTTTTCCCCGATGTGGGACAAGTTTACTTTCTCTATATTAACTTGACTTTGGGTTTATCACATAAGCAAGCCCAAGTCATTTGTTTTCACTATATTATTAAAGCCTTTTGGGTTTTAATGACCCAACAGAACCTACTAAGGTATGTCTCGTCTTGTAAGCCATGTGGTTTAGTTAAACTTGAAATCAGAGTTAGCATCCCATCTTCTAACTGACTTGATTATTAGGTTGGAGAATCGTGTGAAGCAAGAAGGAGGTTTTCAACAGCCAAGTCCATATCTTCTACTAAGTTTTTTGGAGATCACAAGAAATCTACACTTGAGATGGTCACGCTTAGACCATGATCATGTCATACACTTTTTTGTGGTATAACTTTGATGATGAACGTTTGATTTGATATTTTATTCACAGGTGATGAATGATGTCTCATCGCTCGTAGGCAAAACGAAGAAGAGTCTCGAAACTTTGAGCTCCTTTATCACCTTAGTGGTCTAGAGTGAGTTTAAATGTGATCATGACACAACCTGATGAAACATTTGTTTTTTTTTTTTTTACATCAAACGGTTGATCTATTACTCAAGCTTGAGGTGGTCTGGGAATCCAGACCGGAATAAAACAACCTACATACACCAAGTCTCGATAAAAGGATCGAGCAGTCTTAGCTAGTGAATCGGAAAAACTATTATGTGTCCTAGGCACATAGACAATTGATGAAACATTTGTTTTGGTCTCTAAATTTTAAAGTGTTATTATACTCAGACCAGGCCATGATCTGTGATAAGATATTGACTATATATATTTCTGTTGGTTTGCAATGGACAGAGGTTTAATAATCCCCAAACTACCAGGGGATCCTCGTGACATAGAAGCCCTCCGTAGGGATGTGACAGATTTGATGCAGAAATTACATGGTGAAGAAGCTAAAGCCATCCCTTGGGACACCCGAATGAAATGAGTCGACGAAGTGTGTGAACGAGTAAGCTCCACTACATTCAAATCTCTAACCATGTTTTGGAGCTTTCCAGTTTTTTTTTTTTCTAATAAACATCATTTTTTGGTTTGTTTATTCTAATAGGTCGTAACAGTTACATATGGGGTTTGCACGAACGGCCATTCTGGAGGCATAATTTTTAAGCTCCGAAATGATGCGTGGGACTTGTTAGACCTGATTTTAAATGAGAATGTTGAAATGACCAAGATTGCTTAAAATTTTTTAGTGTACTAATGTAACACCCGTTTTATTCTCTTTCGAGAGTGATGTGCCATTCATTAAAACTTGACCCTTTTGAGATTTGCTTGTTCTAAAACTCAGCATGTAGTCATAAATGTAAAATGCATTTCACTGCTAAAATGTCTGTTTGTCTCAATCTCTATCTACTTATTCCCTGAAATTGGATTTATGTTAAACACAAAAGGCCATGGTTCGATTCGATCAATCACTGGACCAAACCTTTGCTCGATAGTACATTTCGGGCAGCTCTGATTCAATACAAGTTTGATGGTCAAATATAGACAATCAAATGCGGCCCATGCTGAGGTTATCGACCCGCTACACGATCCCTTTTAACTTCAAATCAAATGTTTCTTTAGTGACGTTATCCTTATTTACACCAGCAGGACATTAATTTAAAATTTAGCACAAAACACTTTAATTACTATTACGTTTAGTAATACGACTATGTTCTGAATCATATGATATATAGAATTGCATGATTTAGTAGATGTATTTCCAATAGAAAAATGTTTATGTATATTACATTTTATTATAGTCTACTGGTAATCAGTTCCTTTCATTTTTTCCATGTTTTATCATTGGATTTTATCACTAGACAGCTAAGTCTTATTTATTTATATTGTAGATCTTAATTTGGAAGTGTTGGGTGGGGGGATAACTTGTAAAATAATACACTTTTAGACTAGAGAGCAATAAGCACCGTGGTCCTCTCCTTGTGAACACCTCTACTTTTGAATTTTCATATTTATGGTAGTTGCGTCGATATAGTCGTAGGTATTACTCCAACTAAAATCACTCTTAACTAAAATTATCTTATAAATTATATTACATGTGACTTTGTTGATCATTTATCTACCCTTTTGGTAGATGTCCTCAGCAAGTTTGACTCAACACATGTAATATACACTTTTAAATTCTAAACAAGAAGTGTACAAACTATATTATATGTTAAAAACTATATTATATATCCCATGAGCAAATAAAAAGGAATTATTTAGTAAGAGTAAAAAAAAAAAGAAGAGTATTGGATTATAATATACAGAAGTTGCTATGGCACTTTGGGAATTTTTATTGCTGGTTGTTGCCAACGAAACTCTTGTTGGCCATTTATATTATTCGGTAAATTTCATGATTCTGAAAAAAATTCAGATGCACATAAAAAGCCATTTATATCAATAAAAGAATTGACTATTTGAAAATAAAATTATAATATATATATTTTTAATATCAGTTTGTTTAGACAAAACCCAAAATCATCTAAACATTAATTAAGATTATTATAGAGTGGTTTAATTAAAATCATAAGTAAATTTCAGTTTAACTAAAATCAAATGACTTCAGATTAAGTTGAATATATCTGTTTGTACATTTCTGTTTTTGTTTATGATTACCGAGTAGGATGATAAATATATTTTTATTATACAAATCAGATTTTGCTACTTTTTGTTCATAAAATATCTTGTGAAATGGTTGTTTCTATATACAAAATTAAATCTAGTTATGTTTCTATGATAGATATCCCGACATATCTATATATATAAAGGAGCAGCTTCTCTTCACCTATGCTTCCACGTCACCCGTTTTTGAGAAGTAATGTCAGGCCTCCACGTCAGCTGTTTAACACGAACAAGGTTTGGCTTTTGTTTCATCGTCCTTGGTTTTTGTTTCATCGTTTACGTTTGGGCTTAATAAGTTAAAGGCCCATGAGAGTTTAGAAACCCTATTTTTTCTTCTTCGCTTTCCTAAACCAGAGCGTCTTTCCTAAACTTAGCTCTGTATTTGCCCCGATGCGTTTTTAGCCATAGACAGCTTTACGTGGCTTTATCCCGTGTGACTTCTCCAACAGGTCTCAAGATACTTGATGAAACTACAGGAGAAAATGGTGAAAAGGGAACCACCAATATAGTCTACAGAGAGATATTCAACAACATCCGTCAAGATGAGGTAAAAGTTCAATATATTAAAAAAATTGTACGAACACTAAGAAAAAAAAAATCAATTAAAAGATTGATAACATACGGTGCAGATAGGAGGCTTGGAAACGGAGGATTGTTTATCACCGCCGGTGAGTCACCCGGATGATATCAGCGTTCAATTGCCGGTCATTGACGGAGAAGAAGACTACGTCTAATTACAGACAGATTTGTTATTTTAACTTTTTAAAGTCAAAAACAATTTACTCATTATTGTTATCTAGACCCAATATCTTGTCCAATTATTATCTCCTAATATACACAACAGAATAAAAATCAAATGCAAACAAGACAAATCCGTGAACCAACATTCTGTTGAAAAAAGAAAAAAAAAATACCGGATTGAATGCAATTTAAATAAGATTTACGGTTTAGCAATTAAACGAGGCATTTCAGGTATCGGTTCGGTTCGGTTCCGTTCGAATATTTCGGGTTTCAAATAGTACGGGTAAGTGGTTGGAGGAAAAAATTACTACATCAACTATTTTTTGGTTCGGTTCGGTACACTATATTCAGATTTGGTTCGGTTCGGATAGCAAAATTAGGTGTCAAAAAAAAATCTAGAAAATTTAATTCTCAATTAGTTCCAGTTATGGTACAGGTTCGGGTAATTTGGATAAATTATCAATTATTTAGGATACATTAGCTAATTATTAGAACAATTTAGACACAAATTTCAGATATTGGATATTTGGATAAAATTATCCGTATACTAAACATAGTCGGGATAATTTTTAATTATTTAGTTATCTTAAAGTAAATTTCAATACTTCTAATAGATATTTAAATAAAAAGCATAAATTTGGTTATATTATATGTATATAAATTAATATTATTACAAAATCAAGAACCAGTTCTGCTCTCGGTTCGGTTCCGGTTAGATTCAGTTATCTCGGATCTAAAAATATAAGAACCGTTAAAATATTTAAAAATAAACCAATCCACTATACAAAATAGCATCTAATACCTAAAAAATGAAACAAAAAAAAAACAACTAATACAACAAAAAACACAAAAAAATCCACAGAAACCTGCCCGTAGGGCGGGCGAAACCCTAGTTGTATGAAAACCCATAGTAGGTTATGCTCTATTTTATACTTGTTTAAACAAGAAAAAAGAACACAAAAATAGCAAAACACGTATCAGACAATACATGTTAATGAACCCATACATATATGAGATCAGTCATCGTTCACTTGTCACTATTAGTACTTGTTAAGAGTAATAAATGAAGCAAGAATTTAGGAAACGGAGAAGCAAGGAAGATGGATCATGTGAGTCACCTCACCGCTCCTTCTTCCCTCTATCTTCACATCCAAAACAAAAGCCAACAAACACCATTTAACAAAATTATATTATTCTAATATAAAAATTTGGAAATATTGTAAAAGAACAAACAGAAAAAAATGAAAAAAGAAGCCATAAAGTTTTGCAACGAACCCTACCTTCTATGTTTACTTTTTCTACTCCTCTTTTTAAGTAACCATTTCATTTATCTCTCTATCTTTTTTTTGTATTTTGTTTTGATTCAATGGCTTCAAGTGCTTCAAAGTTCATAAAATGTGTGACTGTTGGAGATGGCGCCGTTGGTAAAACATGTATGCTCATCTGCTACACCAGCAACAAATTCCCTACTGTGAGTTTGTTAATTCATTACATCTCTTTTGTCCCTGTCTGAAATTTTGATCAGGAATCTCAGATTTAGTTCAAAGTTTCAATTTTTATCTCATGGGTATCTCCAATTCACTGAAAATCTATTTGGGTTTCTCAAATTTTAGCTTCCCCTTGTCTTAAAAATGTTCTTAGAATCTAACTAGGTATTCAAAGTTAGCTTCTTTTTCTCATGGGTATCTCCAATTCACTGAAAATCTATTTGGGTTTCTCAAATTTTAGCTTCCCCTTGTCTTAAAAATGTTCTTAGAATCTAACTAGGTATTCAAAGTTAGCTTCTTTTTCTCATGGGTATCTCCAATTCACTGAAACTCTATTTGGGTTTCTCAAATTTTAGCTTTACCTTGTCTTATAATATTCTTAGAAACTATTTCGGTATTCAAAGTTAGCTCCTTTTTCTCATGGGTATCTCCAATTTACTGAAAATCTATTTGGGTTTCTCAAATTTTAGCTTCCCTTGTCTTAAAAGGATCTTAGAATCTATTTTAGTATACAAAGTTAGCTCCTTTTTCTAAGGATTGTGTTTGTGTATGAAATAAGATTTGTGTTACCTCTTTTGATTTTGGCCTATTCGAATTGTGGATTGATTTTTGATAGACTTGTTGTAAACAGGACTACATACCAACAGTTTTTGACAACTTTAGTGCAAACGTTGTAGTTGAAGGCACCACTGTTAATCTAGGACTATGGGACACTGCTGGTAATGAATGAACACTCATATCCAATATGCAAACTTCTTTGCTGTTGATTGATTTGAGAGATTGTTTCATCTATGTGTGTTGTTTTGTTTTGCAGGGCAAGAAGACTATAACAGATTAAGGCCTTTAAGTTACAGAGGAGCAGATGTTTTTGTCTTGTCTTTCTCATTGGTTAGCCGAGCTAGCTACGAGAATGTCTTTAAAAAGGTTTGATTCTGAAAATAGACTCATCCTTTTCTCCTTATGTTAGTATCTGAGCCATTTCTAATGTTTATATGACTATTCTTGTTGAATCAGTGGATCCCTGAACTCCAGCACTTTGCCCCAGGAGTTCCTTTGGTTCTTGTTGGTACCAAATTAGGTAAGAAACTGATTAGCATTATACTAACCATTCAGAATATATTTACATACTTATGACTCTTACAACATTGACTTAGATCTCCGTGAAGATAAGCATTATTTGGCTGACCATCCTGGACTATCCCCTGTAACCACTGCACAGGTTTGATCTCAGTAGTACTGTAAATTCCATATGCTTCCTGTTTAAAAAGCTTTATGTATGAATAAACATTCTGATGTCACAGGGAGAGGAGCTGCGTAAGCTAATTGGCGCAACATATTACATTGAGTGCAGCTCAAAAACTCAACAGGTATGTTCTATAGTACACAACTCTTCTCATTCAGATAGACAGAGCATTGAAGGTTTTACGTTTTACAGAACGTGAAAGCAGTTTTTGATTCTGCGATTAAGGAAGTGATCAAACCTGTGGTTAAACAAAAGGAGAAGACAAAGAAAAAGAAGAAGCAAAAGTCACATCATGGATGTTTATCGTGAGTGTATAGATAACAGACCTCAACAAACTCTGCTTCATTTGATTTGAAAGATACTGATTTTTTTTTACGTTTCTTTTTTGGACAGAAACATTCTGTGTGGGAGGATGGTGACTAGGCATTGATGATGATCTTAAATTCCACTTTTGAGTTTGTGTGATAAATTGAGAGACATATATATATATATATAGATGGAATCATGGAAGAAAGATTATTAGTCTCTAATCAATCAATAGTTTACATTGAAGAGGGAAAGAGAGAGATAGTGAGCTTACTATTATTATTAACTCAATTATGTTTATTTGTTTCAAACCTGTTATTGCAATATATTAGTCATTTTCTTGTAACAAATAATACAAGGTTGCAAATGTGGATCATTCGATCAACCACAAGTAGAATAATCTACAAAAGAGTTGTTGACTGTATACAAACTATGGCAGAATTTATCTGTCATAGCATTTTTCTAACATTTAACCAAAATTCACTATAATTTCACATTAAATTTAAAGTGAAGTTAAGTTTGAAATTCAGTCTTCTAAACATTTAATATACAATATATTATTTTTTTTTGTAACCTAATATATTAAATTTATGGCAACTAAATAATAAGCATTTATTCATTTCTCTTCTCTACTCCACAAGAATAAATTTGGGATTGACTTCTCATCTTCACGTCACAGTTCTTTTTGAACTTGATGTGCATCTAGACTTAAGAGAAACATTGGAGATCCAAAGTTTCTGAGATTCAAGAGACATGGGAAGGACATATGTAATGATTCACAATGAAGTCTATTGGCGCCTGTTGAATCTTCTATTAATATTGTCTAACAAATGCGCATGTAAATTAAAACTCAAACACAAAGAATCCATTCCTCAAAATAATTAACATGATAGTTTTGCAGATTTGTTCACCAAAAAACATTGTTGATAGTCTCTTATGTCATGTCCTTGTAAGATCATTTAGGAGTCTTTATTTGTTTTCTAAAATATATATCCACACTTCCTTAATTCTTTCTAATAAATTGTTTTATGCAATATTTTCTATCAGTAAAATCATTATGATTACATGAAATAATTGTTTAATTTTACAAAAAAAGGAAAAAAACAAATATAACTTTTATATTACTTACAATGTATAAACTTTATAAATCTTATTGTTATAATTTTTTCTGCGTTTTATTCAAACTCTATAAATCATATAGATACAAAATTCCTGCGTTTTAAACCAAAAACAAATAAAAATAAGACAATGATATATGACATATATAATGTTTGTTCATCTGATCATCTTTTTGCATAAACTTTTGAAAGCATTTGACTATATACTTTTGATATATTGATCTTCTTCTTTTTCCAGAAAAGAGTTTACATGATGGCAAGCTTTGATACAAACTTTGATCAGTTTTGATTCACCATCAGTTTGAAGGTTATATATGGATACTTACCTTATTTTACCAGATCTAAAATCTTGACTAGCATTGAAAAGGAAAGTAGTCTTAAACAATCACCACCATATATACCATCGTTGTGATAATCCAAATCCACATGCTTCCAGTATTTTTCTCATTTCTTTTTGGGCATAGAAATCATGTGTATTCATATGGAGATTGGATATGTGAACTTTTGAATATGAATGTTGTTTATGACAATCACTTTTTGTGCATTTTTGCAATTTGAGTCGATATAATTATATATTAATAAAATTGAATGATGCATTATTAATTGGACGAAGCTACAAATATGTAGGTTTAAAGATATTCTTAGGTAATTTCATTTACAAACAAAATAAAAAATAATCATTTATAAGGATAATTGTCAGAGAAATTAATAAAGGTTACTTAGGTATAGATTAGTAAATAATTATAATATTATGTGAATTTCTATTATATTCTTTTCGTAATATCATGTATTGACTTAATAAAGAGTAATTGCACTCTGGAAACTATTGGCCAAAATTCAGTCCAAATTTTATAGACATAAATGTATTTCTTTCACCTTCATTTACAAAGAAAAAACAGATACACAACTAATTCAAAGATGTGTATCTAGATTTCAGAGAAACACGGAAAGATCTAAGATTCTTCAGATTAAGACGAGATATGACAAAATCGTATACAATGATTCATTAGGAAGACCACAAGCTCCCGCTATATCTTCTATTTAATAACTTTACAAACAAATAGGCATGTACATCAAAAGTTGTAGAAACAAACAATCTATTTCTGATGCACAATTTTTCGGTAAAGTTGTTTTAGTTACATGAGATAATGGTATAATGTAAAGAAGAGAAAATAAATATGCATTTTATACACTTTTTCATTTTTACTTAAAATGTCTAAATTTTATGCTTATAAAATTCCCACGTTTTTATTTGAATTCTAAAAATTATGCTTTAAAAATTTCCCGCGTTTCTAACAAATATCTATAACTTTTATCATTTCAAAATTTGTGTGCTTTTAATCAAAATCAAGTAAAATAAAACAATGATATGTGATATATAATGTTTGTTCATCTGATCATCTTTTTTGCCTAAAATTTTGAAAGCATTTGGCTACAGCCTTTTGATATATCAATCTTGTTTTATTTTTTTAGAAAAGAGTACATAATGACAAGCGTTGATACACCCTCATTTTCATTTATTCTCTTCTAATTATTCAATCCCAAGCAACTTGTATTTAATAATTACAAACTTTGTCAATTGCCCCATACACTTACATATACACTTTGACACAACACAATCATGAGTAAATATGCATTCACAAAGTCAGAAACTGTCATTTTGTCAGTTTCAGGTGGACTGTTGCGTTTTTGGACCAAACCCATGGATACTAGCACTGTAATTGTAAGCAGACTTAGAACGATCATGTCCACCATAAGTATCGTTTTCAAGATCACCAAACTTAATGTGCTTCTCATATCTCTTGTTTTTTAGGCTTAGTTAGAAGTCATGTGTATTCCAATAGATGTTTATGGGTGAAATTGTGAATACATACACTGTTGTTTATGGTAACCCATTTGTTTGTGCATTTTGAGTCAATATAATTTTATGTTTATGGTAATTGAATTATAAGTGATTAGTTGAATGAAAATACAAGTTAAGTAAGTTTAAAGATATTGCTGGGATAATATCATATTCAAACAATATAAAATAATCGTAATCTATATATATAAAGGAAAGTTTGTCTCCCTCTTGCTCAGCCACGTAGGATAATACAATTCTAACATCATGCCACGTGTCCATCCGAGATGGGCCTTGCCTTTTAATTTTTTGGACCTGAATTTTTTAAAGTCTCTGGCCCTTATGCGTGTTTTCTCTGCCGTCACTCTCTTATTTGTTGAATTAGGGTTTGTTTGTTCCTCCTGTAGAGCAGCCGCCATGGTTACTCCTCTCAACTCATCTCTTCATTTCGATTCGCTTTCCTCCTTCACCGGTTCATATTGATTTCGTTACTCTGTCATCAATCCCTTCTTATCAGCTTAGATTCGATGGAGAAAGTGTATATATAGAGGTCAGTTCTTCATCTTTTCAGAATCATTCCCATTCGTTTTTCACACATCTAAATCATTCTCTGTCGTAATGGCTTTGTCCAGACATCACATATGTTATTCCGACAGCATTCCTCTTAATCTCTGTCATTTTTTTATTATTTCTCGCAGGCCACCATCATGCAGGCGACCATTAATGCTAGCCATGTGGAAGCTTTCCGACCAAAACTCGCCGCCGGTAATATGTACTCCCTCTCCGGTTTTGATGTCGGCCACGTGGTCCAAATTTTCGGTTAACTGATTCTCCATATATAGATGTATTCCTTCTATGAAAATCATCTTCATATATCTCTTTGCATACCTACTCTAATTTAAATGGCTAACTCGATAGTTTTTTCATGATATTGTTGTTTCTAACAGACAAATGCAGAGTAGTTGAGAACAATGAAGGTTTACGTTGAGCTACATACGAATGAGTTCTAGACAATTGAACAATAACTATGAGGATAGAGTAGTTGAGAACAATAAAGGCCTGCATGATGCTTTGTTGGGAAGGCGTGCAAAGCAGCTTCACGCTTCTTCCTCAAGTATTTTCCCATGTTTCAAGCTTTTATTGCACTCAAATTTCAATTTCTATCATTCAGATGTTTTTTTGCTTATAAAAAAGGGAATGAAAGACTGTGTTTTTTTTTTGCAAAATTAGATTGTTTCTTTGAAGTATTTGTAAATGGAGGGATGAAACTTACGGTTAAGGACTCTGACATGACTGCATAGCTTTTCATGAAGCGTCAGCTCAAATTTGATGGCATCAAGGCAAAAGGAAAACAAGAGACCCCGAAAAGCAGAGTTAAGTTTCTCATCTCTTGCATTCTTCTTCTATATGCATCATAAACTATATTTACATGATAAGAATGTCAGGAATAGTGGTGAACGACATGAATTGGGTACTTGACAAATGAGTTATAATGCTTTTGGATGAATTGCAGTGATTTGATTTTTGACTATGGTATATCTTTGGATTCCTTTTATGTTTTTTTGTAGAGCCTTTGATTATGATACATTTGGATTAGAGACATTCATGTCTAGCAGAACACATTTAGAGTTAGACAGAAAAAATGTTTTCCGCTGGTTAGATTATTAATATATTGGTAACTCTTTCTGAGGAGGTCATTTGAAGGTTCAGTGTCCCTTTCCAGTTCTCCCAGCTGCGTTATTATTTTTCTTGGCTGAAATGCGAGGACTCAATGTGACAGGTTAGTAATAGTAAAGCTCGAAGGTTATTCTTTTGCTCACATAAGAATGGGAAGAAGCATAGACATTTATAATTAGGAAGAGAAATAAAATTATGGGAGTTGAAGATGAAGATAACCACGGTACTGACAACAACAACAACGTTGACAAATATACATTGCCCTATGTATGCTTCATATGCAGAGAGCCTTTCATGGATCCAATTGTCACCAAATAGAAATCTTATTTATGTGAGATTTGTTATGTCTGTATGTTATAGTTAAGAGGAACATGTGCCCAACCTTTCATCATGTATATATATTAAGATAAAAACCACATGTTTCTTCTATTTTTCAAGACTCAGATAAAGAATACACAAAACTAATTAACTTTTTTTAACTATCAGTGTTCTACATATATATATATATATATATATATATATATATATATATATATATTTACTTATTGATAAATTTTATTATTGTTGTTACTTTCTCACAGAACTTTATTTCTTTGGTAATTCGGGCCATCTGAATCATAAAGATTATGTATGCCAAGGACAAGTGCCATTTACTTAATTCCTCACAACGGGAACACAATGTCTATTTCCGTTATTGATATTCAGATTTCATCAAAAATCTTCAAGAAAAGTAAAATTAAATTTCTAATACTTTAATGTAAATTCACAAACAAACGTCTTATTATCTACATGTACGGTATATCATTATAATATCTAATTTAAATATGTGTATATAATAAATTTTATATAGATTACTAATAAAATAAATAATTTAATTCAATATCAAAATACAATCAATATATAATAATTTAATTATGTATGATAAATTATTGTAAGAACTATATTTTATAAGTTAGTAAGTAATCTTTATTTCAAAAATTTTAATCAAATAATTTGATAATATGGTTAACCTTATTTTCATAATAAGTATGTAAATAAAAATATATATAAATATACATATAAATATCTAATAACCAAAAGAAATATTTTTTCAATAATAAGATACAAACAATATATAATAAATTAATTATGTATGATCAACTTATTGAAAGGATTATATTTTATCAGTTAGACAGTAAAATTTATTTAAAAATTTTAATCAGTTATGACATGGTTAACTTCATTTTTATATATAATATATATATATATATACATAATTTTAAAGAACATGGTTAAATTCATTTTTTATAGAATAAATTCATTCTAAAAAACATGTATGTGTGTAGATAGTAACGATAGTTTCATATTATATATTTATGTGTTTCCAAATGAGTAAGTTATTATTTTATATCTTTCAATAGTAATTTTAAAATAAAATGTATAAAAATAATTTTTTTTTGATAAAAGTATAAAAAAAATAATTTAATACATGAAATAAATATATAAACTAAGAGAGAAAATAACTTTACACTACTTATTGTAAACTAAAATAAACATTGAGAGAAAGTATATAATTACTTTTTAAAAGTTTTATTATAATTAGAAAAGTTTATAATTTCGAAAATAAATAGTAAAATAGATAGATAAAATTGTGTATAAAAAATTATAAAGTTAATGATATTTTTAGTTAAAAATAAATTAAATATTAAAAATCTATTTATATTACTAATTTATCTATTCGCCCGCCCGTAGGGCGGGTTTACCCTAGTTTCATATAAATTATTTCAATAATTCTTTTAATATTTTCAGTTCTTAGTTTTTAAGTTTGGAAATATTTATATTGATTGACTCAATAAGAGTAATTGTAGCACTTTTTGAAGCTTGGACTCCGGAAGAAACTATATTGGCCAAGTTTTAGTCAAAGACCAAAACGTATAGTTTCATCTGAACATCAAGTAACGTATTTCAAATGGGCCGGAGAGACAAGTCTTAACAAACTTGGACCTTCTTTCTCTGGTAGACATGTAAAGGTTGAAAGATAACAATGCCACACTTATACATCACGTCACAAATGAGAAAACTTGTAGATGAGTTATTTATTCGAGTTGATGAGATCGGGGTTACTATACAACTTTTTATTGGTATGGGGAGCAGAGAAAAACAGAAGCAGGCTGGCTCGTAGATCTAAACCAACCATGAGCCAACCTTTCTTTCTCTCTTTTTGCTCATAAAAATTCACATTCCTTACTAAAGTTATGTGAGTATACTGTATAAAACTAAATGTTAATAAATTATGTTTATAAGTTTTGGTAATAGTGTATCAATCAAACCCATCACCGAGTAAAGAAAGGCACATGAGAGTGTTCTATTGTGTGGGTACGCCACAAATCTTCCTCTCACATCCATGTGCACCTCTCTCCCACTTTTTTCCCTTTTTGGATTAAACTAATTTGATTATTTAAAAGAAATTCCGATTACTAAATGTACCATTAATTCCACAACAACAAAAAACCATAACTGATAAAAATTGACTTCAAACTACGAATGATAATCATGTAGTAATGGTAGTCAATATCAACAACTTGCGAGTCTCCAATCTCAATGATTATGTGGTCGTTCTCCATACTTTTCTAAAATAAAAATACTACTTCCTCCGTTTCAATTTATTTGTCATTTTAGGTTTTTACACACAAATTAAGAAAACATTTAATTTTACACATTTTCAATATAAAAACACAATTACCAATATATCTAACCACTTTTCAACCAATAGAAAAATAGAATATCATATAAACCTAATAAATTCTGTCTCGAAACTCTAAAATGACACTTATTTTGAAACGATTTTTTTCCTCTAGAATGACATCTAATTCGAAACGGAGAGAGTATGAAAACTCGCTCTTTACGTTTTGGCTCAAATACCTTTTAAAAGTTTGTCCTAAAATATTTGATTCGCTGATTAGTGGTTTAATTACTACACTGGTATAATGTTCCAAACCAGATTCTCAATCACGTGCAAAATTCCTTCAGACAATATTTAGCTGGTTAGTCATCAATTAATCACGAGAAGAAATAATTGAATGCATATCTCGTTTCAAAATATAAACATTCAAAATTTCAAGGTTGAATTTGCATTAAAGGCTCGCATGGTTAATGTGTGTAAGACGTTGGGTTAAAATTTGAAGAAACTCAATTCAACCAAACAGTCATGAGATTTTACATGTTTATATTTTGATTAGAAACATGTAGCTGATCAATGCAACAGTTGAAATGGTACATGCATACGTGGAAAGTATTAGTCTAAACATGAATTGTCTTCTGTTTTTACTGGTTACATTTCTAACAAAAATACTATAAAAATATGTTTATACATTGCAAAAATGTTGGCAAATATGCATAATATAAGGTGAAATTAGGTCAAAACAGTTCTGTTAGCTAGTTATTACCATAAATTAATTCGAGAACGATGGCATCACGTGGTGATGACAAAACGTTGAGTTAGAACTTCATTAGAACAAACAAGAGTAAGTGTAGTATAGAAACTCAAAGTAAACACCATATTATCTCTAATTTTATGCTTTATATATATATGATTAGTCCCAAAGATTACCATATTTGAGTTTTTGTTTTTTTGTCGACATTTCTAGAAATTTATTTACAGAGAGTAATGAAAGAATGAATTATTGTTTGCCAAATTTCAACAACTTGAATTATGAAAAGTTTTAGCTACAATTTCACAAAAAGTCCAAGCCTTTAGAGATGGGGTTTAACTTTAAACTTTAGCAACTTTAATTAGTAGTAAGAAAAAGACTAGGACTTTTTAAAAAAATGCAAACTTTAATGGAAAGAAAAAGATTCCTCACGTCCTTTGTTTGTTCACATCCCTTCTCCATTTAATTATTGATCATTTTTTTGTTGGTCAAAATTAATTAATCAATTTATTACCCCCTTTCCTCTCAACCTTAACACTTGATTAATTTATTCAGACGGTGTAATTTTCAGCACCGCCCTCTCAGATTGATTCATTGTTTCTGTTCAAAATCTATGATTACTGTTGACTCCTCAAAATATTATTCTATCTATTCTGATAGTAGGAATAGTAATTTTAGTAATCAATCCTGGTTTTATTAATTGGCATTTAAAGTTGGTTCTTCTAAAGAATATTAATAACCACTCCTAGTGTAGCTTTCAATTCCACATGGAGAATAATCCAATCAGATTATTAGTTTCACAAACTGTTCATTCACAACACTAATAAAAGTTACTAAAACATCCTACCACTAATAAGATGATTAAGTTGCTAATAACAACATTGATGTATGTGTATGTCCACATTGCATGATTCATTAGTAGTTTGACTCCAATTTTAACTTTTTTTACCTTTTTTTCACCTCGAGTTTTGCAGAAAATAAAGCTGCTTTTTCTCTCTTTATATGTGGCTAATTACCTTTTTGTCCCTGAACCTCACACACACACACTATACTCTCTCTAGCTGTTAATACTTGTTTTCCTCTGCTTGTCTTCCTCTTGTTCTTCCACTTTTCTCCAAGAAGCTGCCACTGGTTTGTGCTTCTGTTTACACATTGTAGATTCTTTGATTTGAGTGAAACATTATTCGTCTTCTTCATTGTTGTTTTTTTGCAGAGACAGAGAGAGAGAGAGGAGATGGCAGGTGGAGGTGGAGCTCCAGCAGCGAAAGCAGAGGAACCACAACCACATCCTCCAAAAGATCAACTTCCCAACATCTCTTACTGCATCACTAGTCCTCCTCCTTGGCGTAACCTCCTAAAGCTCTTTCCTTTTTTAGATTTCTAAGTTCAGAAAATAAAAAAAACTCTTAGCTTTCTCGTAAAGGTCTAGTTTTTTTTTTTTTTTTTGAACCAAGAACTCTAGCTATGTCCAGGACCATTGTTTCTTGCCCTATTTGTTGAAATCTATTGCAAATTTTTGTGCTTTTTTGTTTGTTTGTCAAGATGCTGTCTCTTGATGTGTTTCTTCGTGTAATGAATATAAACCTTTGTTTCATGTTAGTGTAGTTAGCTATTAACAGCCCCTAGTTAGCTTCATTAGTTTCACATGTTTTTTCAATGTTAGCTAAACGGTTTTGAAAAAGCTAAACTCTCTTCCTCTATCTTCCAAGTTTGAAAAAAGCTATTGCATTTGTTGAATTTATTGCAAGATTTGTGTTTTGTTTTTGTCTGCTGCTATATGTGGATGTGTTAATTCATGACATGAATATAAACCTTTGTTTGATGTTATTGTAGTTAGCTTCACTTGAGTACCATCATCTCTTACATATGTTTCTGTGTTTAGCTTTCACATGTTTTTTTCTTTCACTTGAAATTGTTAACTAAGCGGTTTTGAAGACAATTGTTATCACAAGAAACTGTTCTCCTCTCTTGTTTCTGTCTTTGAATTTATCCCCTCTTTCAATGTAGTTGGTTTTGGAATTGTGCATGAGTTCTTACACTGTCTCCTCATGGTTGTGTGTTTTCAGCTGAAGCGATTCTTCTTGGTTTCCAACATTATCTTGTAATGCTTGGGACTACAGTTCTCATTCCTACTGCTCTTGTTCCCCAGATGAGTGGTGGTTATGTAAGTCTTCTTTCATGAGTTTTTAAACTTATACTAGGAAGACACATAATAAATGGTGATGTTGATCTGATTTACAGGAAGAGAAGGCAAAGATGATTCAGACCATTCTCTTTGTTGCCGGCATCAACACATTGCTTCAAACAACTTTTGGGACTAGATTGCCTGCTGTTATTGGAGCTTCTTACACTTTTGTGCCAACCACAATATCCATCATCCTCTCTGGCAGATTCAGTGATACCTCAAACCCTATAGATGTATGGTGGTGACCTTTTGTTGTGGATTTTGCTTCTAATTATGACTCTTTCTTGGTGCTAATTATAGTCATTTTTGAATTGATTTGCAGCGGTTTGAGAGTATTATGCGAGCTACACAAGGCGCTTTGATTGTTGCTTCAACCTTACAGATGATTCTTGGTTTCAGTGGTCTCTGGCGCAATGTTGTTAGGTTAGTCTAAAGGAGGATATAGTCTCAAACATTCGTCTTCCTTACACAATATTAGAGAGTAAAATCAATGTGTATTTCATTTTCAGGTTCTTAAGTCCTATCTCAGCTGTTCCACTGGTGGGTCTCGTTGGATTTGGGCTCTATGAGTTTGGTTTTCCAGGAGTAAGTCTACTCTAGATGCACTGAAACACTAAATATCAAATAATATAAACGAGAAGGCGCTTTCAAAAGTTAATTTTCTCTCTACATTTCAGGTTGCTAAGTGCATAGAGATTGGGCTGCCTGAGCTTCTTATTCTAGTATTTGTTTCACAGGTACTATTTTAACTTTACTAACACAATAATGAATCTGTCTTTACCTCCCAAAATAGCGTCTAGATAATTTTATTTTCTGATGTTTCCTATTTGCAGTACTTGCCTCATGTGATCAAATCAGGGAAAAATGTGTTTGACCGGTTTGCTGTGATATTCGCGGTGGTGATTGTATGGATCTATGCTCACCTTCTTACAGTTGGTGGAGCCTACAATGGTGCTGCACCAACTACACAAACAAGCTGCCGAACTGATCGTGCTGGCATCATAGGTGCTTCCCCATGGTAAGTGATTACAACTCAGCTCCCAAAATAACGACTTCAAGTTTAAGCAGAACAGATAAGCAAAGGATAAATGTGATTAGAAAGTGACATTCATTGGATTTGTTGACCTTTTCAGGATAAGAATTCCATGGCCATTCCAGTGGGGTGCACCTTCGTTTGATGCTGGAGAGGCTTTTGCAATGATGATGGCTTCTTTTGTTGCTCTAGTTGAGGTATGTTATGTGACTATATGCTTCACATTTTAATATTTCTTTTGCTCTTATTCTATTTATTTATTCATTTTCTTC